GGTGTGTGCGGAGTTGGAGTGTTACTTACAGGCTCAGGTCTAGGACGCGCAAACGAGTACATTTGCTTAGGCTGGCCCAACAGTTTATTGCGAAGCTGGCTTGTGGTGCTACGAAGACTTCTAGGGAGGATTTTGTGCGTCCCAGCAGTCTTGCTGTTGTGGATTTTGCGCCTTGGTGTACGATGTGGGATAAGTCCAAGTCTTTGACTAAGCCAGATAATGGTGACGGCTGTCTTTTTTGTTAGTTTCTTGGTGTATCATTTATCGTGGGCCTGAAGGTCTACAAGGATAACTACCTTAATGCGTGCATTAACAGAAGGACTTATGGTGCGAACGAAAAGGTCATATGCACGGCCCAAAAGGAATGGTGCCTCGTATAATGGCTGTATGGCTACCTGATAAGACAAATAAAGTGGTAAGCAGGTAATACATCAAAACGACCAAGATGAAACCTGACGTACATCGTACCATTGCCTGTCCTGTCAGCTCACGTGAACAAGAAAGCATCTAGACCATGGCATACCTATTCACGGCGGAGAAGCGGGCCAAGGTAATTTGCCTCTCGAGCCTGCTCCATGACTCGAGATGGGACAGTATCTCAAGCAACAACTCATCGGGAAGGTAGTTGGCATAGTTTCCTGTATTACGCGCAGCCATATCTTACTGTGCTGGTTGTTATATGGTATATGAAACTATCGCGTAAGTGATGTTCCCGGAGAGCGTTGAGCGCAAACGTGCGGTTGAGATGACGCACTAGCACATAGTTTGTCGTTGCGCTTATCTCCTTGCTAAAACCCGAGCTTGGGGAAACGCCATGCACGCCGTCACGCTAGGCATTCATGCACGTGGACGCGCCGTTGCGCGACAATTAAACCACCTATCGAAGCTAGACACAATGTTGCACATCGACGGACGATTTGCTCTTCGAGATATAACAAAAGGGCAAGTTACTTGTCCAGGATGCCAGGCCCACACACACTCTCTCCGCAACGGACATGAGCTACTCCACACCCGGACTGTTAATCTACCCGGCTCGGACCGGGGTTGTGTTTACGGAAATCGATAGATAGACTTACAGCACGGAATTCACAGTGGTCACAGCGGACGACAAACCAGTGGGAGGTTTGCTATATGCCGCCCAAGGATAACACCAAGGTACTGCACAACATGGCAGGCCTTCACGCTCGACTATACCTGCCAAGCCAGAGCGCATAGCACAATCCTTGCACGCTTCAATGTCATTTTTCACCCTTTGCTCACCATCGGTCCTTTTTCACTATGCAAAAGTCCGGCCCCAGCAATTCTGACGGGAAGCACAGCCGTCAGATATTAGCAAAACATGAGCGATTGCGGAGCTTACGTACTCGTAGTACCACTCCACAGTTATAAATCATATAACACGGCACGGATGACATTCCTACTCTACCGTGTAGTTCCCGCGTACAGCCAAGCCATTGGATGTACTGGCGTGGTGTTTGTCCGATAATTGATTGTTTTAAGTCTTCACCCTTGCAGATCACTTATAAGGTTTAAGTCGCCTGCGACACTGGTACAAGTCCCTTTTCCTTGGAGGGAATTTCCCGGGGCTTGCCAAATTAGCCCAATTCACACTACTTTTTCTTGCTTGCGCAGATAAAAGGAATCCACGTTGCCCTCCTGTTCCTTTTTTGCCTCGGACAGCCCCAGAAGTTCGAATTTCTCACATCATGAAGGCGACTATCACCGCGCTAGCTTTATTAGGATCGGCAGCCGCTGAGCGCCTCCTCCTAGCTTCTTATGGCACCGACTCGACTCTGGGCTCTGTTACAACTCTCGAACTCTATCCCAGCACTGGTTCTAAATGCAATCGCAAGCTCGAGGTTATTCACAACAGCCAAGAATGCGGTCCCCTTCCTACTTGGCTAGACACAAGTCTTGGTCAGAATAAGGTGATCTGCCTGGACGAATCGGGCAATGCCAATATCACGACATTCAATCTCCAGCCCGATGGTAGTCTGAAGAAGATTTCCAGTTCGCCTGCGCTCGGCGGCGCTGTATCTTCAGCAACTTATAACAACGGATCGGCTATAGCACTCGCTCATGTAAGTGCCTTTTATGCGTACAAGACAAAGTTTCTTACCCGTACTTTGATACTAACCTCACATCAATAGTATGGACCTCCAGCGATAAGTTCCTACTCCGTACACGGCAACTCTCAGCTACAGTCCCTCCAAAACATCACATTCGCCGACCCAGAAAAGATCCACCAAGCCGTCCTCGACCCAACAGGGCAGTACATGATCTTCCCCAGTCTGGGCGCCGACCGCGTCCACGTCTACGCCATCAACCCCACCACCGGCCAACTAGCCCAACGCGAGTCTCTAGTCTCCCCAACCGGCTACGGCCCCCGCCACGCCGCCTTCTGGACCTCCAAAAAATCAGACTCCACCTTCCTCTTCGTCGTCCACGAATTGAGCAACAAAATCATTAGCTACAAGGCCACCTACCTCGCCAACCACGCCGGCATCAAGTTCACACCAGTAGACGAAGTAAGCACCTACGGCAATTACACCCTCCCAAACAAAAAGCTATCCGCCTCGGAAATCTCAGTCTCCCCCGACAACGCCTTTGTGCTTGCCGGAAACCGCAACGGCACCATTTTCACCGTCGACAACCCGGATCCCAAGAACAGCACCAAAGTACCCAGTGACTCGATTGTGACGTATAAGCCGTCAGCGGATGGCAAGCTGAAGTTTGTCCAGCTGGCCAAATCTGGTGGTTATTTCCCGCGCCATTTTCAGCTGAGCAAGGATGGCTCGATGATTGCGGTTGCAAATCAGCGGAGTAACAATGTGGCTATTTATGCGAGGGATGTCAAGACGGGAATTATCAAGGATGATAAGCCTGTAGCGGGAGCTGCGGGTCTTGGACCGGGAGATCTCATGTGAGTATACCTTTTTCCCGAACGTTTGAGTCAATTGCTAATTGTTATTTAGGTTTATCCAATGGGTCTAAGAGTAACGAAGAGGGAGTGTGAGTTGTGACAAAGGTCAAATAAGGGTTTGAGCTTCAAGTGTGTATAGTTCAATGATGCCAAAGAGCAATCTAGTAGATTTAGGGTTGTAAATCTAGATGATACATAATTCACTTTCAAGGTATTTGTTTGCCTTGTTCTTGTGCAATAGCCCATGCCACGGCATCCCATACATCATCCACAATCTTGCGTGGCTCAGGTGATGGTTTGGTGCCTTTGACGTAGACGCCGGTCTCTACTAATATACTAGCCCAATCGGTGCCGTATGGGCTCTTGTAGTTGTTGCCACCAGCAATATCACTAGCTGGGTTATCACCGACCATGTAAACTCGCTTGAGATGGTCAAGTGTTCCACCATACTGTTTCATCAGATGACTACGATGTGCTATGAGTCGCTTTTCAGCAAACTCATAAGTAGGCTGATGTGGTTTCCCCATGACAACTTTATGCAACTTGACACCTTTTGCCTCGCCACCAGTCACTGCTGCCCAAATGCCTTCAAAAGCTTCACGGAAACCTCCTTGGCCCAGGCGTGGAAGGTGGTATTTAGCGGCCCAGAGCAAGTCTGGATTAGAGTAATAAATGGTAGGTTGTCCATCTTGTTGGTAGCCACGATTCTCTAGGGCATCATTGCCGTTCTTCTTGGACAGAGTTCCCATGATACCCTTTTCGGATAGCAGGACGTCTTTGATGATTTGCGCATCGAGGCCCCAGTCACGCGGGTCGTTGTAGACGAAAACAGCATCGATACGGAGTGATGTTGACGAGGAAGAAGGGTCAATGGGAGCAGGTAGAGGGCGAGTAAACGTCTTGTAGTACGAAAGCAATTGCTGCGAAAAGGGCCAGACTTCCGGATGCGCCACCAAGATATCACCTGGGGTAACCACTGTCTTGAAGCTGTACAGATTTGTTAGGATACATAGCAACATGAATGTGCGTTTCTGCGTACCCATATGCCTCAGCAACCTTTCTGCATTTGTCTGCTTCGCCGCCAACGACCATGACCGTTTTGTCCTTGAGATGGTCCATGTCGGCAAAGGGTGTATGACTCTGAACAAACATGGACGTATCCAGAGGGATATTGAGCCTGCTGCTCAGGTCGGCGACGCGCTCCGACTCGTGTTTCCCGCCGCCATTTGTGAGCAGGATGAATGGGATGTGCTGCGCCTGGAGATAGGAAAGGGCCTGGTGTGCTCGCGGCAATGGATCGGCACTCCTAAGAAGCACTCCGTCGATACTGACAGCCGTCAGCGGCCGTGTTGTGAAACCGATGGCAGAGGTGCCTTACTCGAAAGCGAACGCAAAGTCGGATGCGGGGGTATGGGGGGCAGCAGCCGTTTGGAGAAAGCGACGAAGCGGGATATGGTACCCGCTACGGGTTAGTGGTCTCGCTGCCCGCATTATTGTTGCTGGTGCCATTGTCAAGGTGTTGTGTGTCGTTGAAGGTGCTGGACAACATGTGGGCGGAGCATAGGATGTCGCCCGCTGGACCCACTTTAATCTTCGGAGCCGTTCATGCACCCATCACACGCATCCGTAGCTGGCCCACTTCGTTCATCAACTGCGACCAACCTTCTTTTCTTCAATCCACATGTGTTCTTCATACACTCGCCTGCAAAATCAGCTTCCAGTATCTGCACTTGGGGACTTTCCCCACGACATGGAGTCAGCCTTAGCGAAAGCTATAGCAACTCAGCATTTGCGTATTGTCTGCCCCAGCATCCTTTCTAAGTTAGTTATAAATGATCTTGCAATTTATTTTACATATCCAACAACTTTCTTGGATGCTCAAATGGATACTATTGATCATGTCACAACGAGCTCCGCACCTATCAGGTGGAAGAGCAACCTTATCTTTGGTTACACAGCATTGCTGTAGCTCATTTGCTCAAGATAGGTCATGCGCGAACCCACTGCCTCGATTCTGAACTTAATATATTCATCTGGACTCCGCAAATTGCGGGGTACTAACCACAATACTGACACTATGAGCCCTCGTTGCGTACCCTGCGATCGAGACTTCAGCAGCGATGAGGCACTGCAGCAACACAAACGAGACTCACCAGCACACAAGTACGACTGTACAACATGCGATCGTCATTTCAAAAACGACAAGGCTCTGGCACAGCACTACCAGAATGCCGCTGTTCACGCCCAGTCTTCTGAACATCCAGCCATTCTTACGAGCTCTCCTCAAAAACAAAAGTCAACCACGAAACTGAAGTCGGCTAGGAAGCCGAAGACAAACAAAAAATGGTCGTTGTATCCTTTACTCCACAATGAAGTATCCGACCTCCTCTACAAAGACAACATTTCCTTCAGCTTCTACGAGAAGGACGACGCCAACGGCTGCATAGACGACTACGATACGAACATCATGGGTCAGTTCGTTTGCAGTAATACATCATGCCCGGCTGTTTGGACAAGCAAGCAAATAGCCATAACTATACGGAGATATCCCAACGAGCGATACAATGCAAGAGTGTATTACCAATCCTGCAAACGCTGCCACAGGACGAGTGAGCCACAACTAGATTCTTCATACGCAGAAAGAGTGGCATATCGTCTCAAAAAGTGGTCTGGCATCCATATGGAACGCCCTTTCTTCTTCTCAGGGCAGGGTAAGGGTCCACATAGAAGTGATCTATGTGAAGGGTGTAAGCAGGGTCATTGCAGCAAAATGGAATTGTGATTCTAGTCAACTTAGCAATGATAAGTATCGCGTTAGGGACGAAGGCCGTCCTTCTGTAGCAGCATCGATGTTATGGTGAGAGTAGTCATTGCAAAATGTGTAGCTTTCGGAAGCAAATTTTTCATTCGTAATACCACCAAACTGTTGATTACACTGCCTGCTAGCGTCTCTCTAAGCAAATGAGACGACGCAGATGAAAATCAATCATCTCTCTCTATAATTGTCATAGATTCCCATCCATGTACTCCACAGTGCGACAGTACTGCACCTTCATGTAGAATGAAGTTCGTAGAAGAGAGCAGAAAAAGCTATATAATAACAGTCGACGGGCTACCAGAGAGATATGTCTTCCGTGAATTGATGATTAAAAAGTGAGGGGAGAAGGTGATCGAGGTTCCCGAATTGCGAACACTGAGATTTTGCAAAACAGTTCGATACCACTGATGCTATTGCATTTTAGCTGTCGCGCTGGTCGATTTAAGAGTGCATAATTGCACAGCATAGAGTGTCGCGGTATAGCTGATATAAAGAGTTAGTAGAAGCCATTTTGCAATGCACAAGATTAGAGATACGAATAACTCAGCGACGCGAGTTAGAAGGATGACTGATACGCACCTGTCATAACATGAGTTTTGAGCTTGGTTGTTCTTGCTGAATGCTTACCTGTTCTCGAACCACTTCAGCTGCCAAGGCCCCACGGACCTAGTAACCTTGGAGAACAATAGTAGTGGATTTTCAAGCCACAACCTCCTAACTATACTATTTGAACCCCTTCTGGACATGAATTTACTCTTTTTAGAGAAATCCCATGCTCAACACACAGCTATCCCTTCGCTATGTGCATACGAACAGTATTAACCAATGGATTCTAACATCGAGCCCGTCACATGGCCACTGTGATTATTTGTCGAACAAGGCTCTAAATTTTCGATATTCGTGCTATGAGAGGGTTTTGATGACCAGTGGTTCTTCCGACAATGACAAGGGGGAAAACGCCTCCGTGCACCGAATCCAAGAACAATAGTAACACGACGGGACGCAACCGCCACTCTTTCTCCCTACCTACACTGCAGCAACCAGAAAGGAAAATCTAGAACACTTCGACAATGAACAATTTCATCCCACAAAGGAAACCCCTTCTTTCTCTTCCCATGACGTCCGATATCCGTCCAGACTGAAAAAGAATATATAAGTTCTTCGAGCCCTTCGAGTCCAACTTTCTCACCACTCAAGTCATCAGTCCTTCAACCACTTGAACCACTTTCGCTCCAACTCTATTCTTACATAAGAAAACCCTCTTCTCTCTCAACTAAAATCAAAATGGCAGGCGTTGTTACTGGACCCGGTTGCACCATCTCTCGCCGTGGCGTCGTTACCGGACCCGGCTGCACCATTTCCCGCGGTGTTGTCACAGGCCCGGGATGCACCATCTCTTAAACAGTCTTGCCTAGTTGCGAGAGTGAGAGAAGGGACTGGCGGTTATTACCATTCTTCCAACGAGTATTTTTTTAAAAAATGAAGAGGGAATGATGAGGAGAGGGAGGAAGAGTGACTCGCTCTTCCTTTCTTCTTCTTCTTCTCCACCTGTCAACATCAGCGCTTTGTTACTCTGCGATTACCAACTTCAACTACGGATACCGGCTTTGAAATCGACAAGAATCTCCGACATGGCACATTGAACAATGGACGGACGAAAAAAAAAGACTTGTTTATGGGGCTCGTGGGATTGGAAAAGTCGGTGTGGCTGATGCAGGGTGACAGGGCTATTATTTTGTTTATTATTGCATGTATCTAAATATTTTGAGGCGACAAACCAATGGAAGGAATAGCTTGATGAGGGTATGCTCATACTGTGATATGTGATAGAACTTAAACTCTTCTGATTATCGGTGCACTATGTGATGTCTGATTGAAAATATGTATCGTCTTGCTTGGGATTAAAGCAGGCGGAAGGAACGTGTTAGCCTCAGTCACGTGATTTGGCGCTAGTCTAGAAGGTACTCGTAATACCTCGTCATGGATCGGACAAATAGCATGTAGCTGAGGTTGCAATCAAGTTTGTATTCCTAAGAAGAGGTTTGATATTCAGACATGTGTATCTGAACGAGTGTTAGGCCGTCGCACGCACTTGCTGCTTACTTAACACGCAACTGCCTTTACGTCCAGTGTAAGTTCGTGTAAGTTTTATGCAACATGTGTAGCGCCCCTCTTTTTTTTAGTTTTTAGTTTAGTTTTGTGTGTAGGCAGAGTATATTAGCATGCGGCGGCATTTTTCCATCACGTCCTAACGTCAGACCATCTTGCCATCTTGCCGAAAGCGCAATGGCCAGTTCTTAGAGCTCAGGTATCCGATATTCTCTCCATAAATAAAAACCAACGGGACTTGGCGGCCAAGGATGGTTGGGGACAAGCGGTATCTCGCCCCTGCGCTCAGCAAAAGAAGACATGGCAATATTAGACTGGATAGTGCTTGAGAGCAAGGAAGACGTCTGGATAAACAATGTCGCCAGGAGGATTAGTACAGTTCAACGGCGTTGGCTATATATGTCCACACGTACCCACTCCAACGTGTAGGCGCAAGGAGAGCCAAGGCGCCAGTCCCAAAGCGGCATGGCGGTGAGACGCAACATCATCATTAGAGTACCATACACCGGTACTGGGAGACGGCGGCGGCACGGTCGGGCGGAGAACCATCGAGTAAGCACATACATATATATGTCGGCATTGCTAGTACTACTACTTAGCAGGCAGGGTACGGCTACTTGCTCACGCAGCTGACGGCCCTGGTAGGTAGATACAGAACGTGGTTGATGAAGCAACCAATGGCAGTGTGCATCACACTGGCTAGCCTCGTCGGGAGAGCGATCGGCGCGCGGACGCTTCTCAGGGGGCGCGGTGCGCCATGCGATCACGACGACCAGGGCGGCCAGGGCGGTCTCTGCGAGCAAGGCCAGGGAGACGAGGCTATTGCGGCGTACACGCAGCACCCGACCGTTGTCGCGTTTCGCTCCTCGTTGGCTGAGTGCTGCTCAAATCAAATCTAGTCAAATCAGACGTCAGCCCTGTGCTGTGCTGTGTTGTGCTGTGCGCCGTACACGCTCCCTGTCCATCTCCTCTCCTCTTCCTCTTCCTCTGCTGCATCACTACACCACCATACCCCCAAACACCCTGACAGACGACATGTGCGCGCGCCCTGTCCGTCTTTCCGCCTAGACACCTAGCCTCCTCCCCCAGTGTCCACCACGCCGCCCAACACACCCACCGTCTTCGCAACCCGAATGCGTGCGCGATAGGCCCCGGGCTGCCATTGCATCTCCGCTCTCGCAGCACTCCCGCCGCCATGTCCTTTCTCTTCGGCAAGAAGAACAAGCAGCAGCAGCAACAGCAACAGCAACCCACCACCGCACTCCCGCCAGCCACTAGGGATATCACATCTGCACATGGCCCATCGCAACAGCCACCCGCGCTCAACGGAGCCCCTGCTCGCGACGCTGAAAAGTCTCGCGGTGGCCCCCAGGGCCCTACCACGACCCCTAGCGGCAGCGTCAACAACTCATTAAGTTCTCTTCAGGGCTCTGTCAACGCCTCGACGCCAGAGCAAAAGGCCCTCCGTGAGAAGACAGATCCCAATGCCCAGGTCCGCTCTGCTCCACTCCTTCTCCGTTTGTGCGCCTGCTGACTGCTCCCAGAATGCAAACAACAGACTCGGCGGCGGCAATGCCTCGGAATCTCCCTACCCGTGGTCGTCGCGCCGCCTTAACTTCACCGCTGGCAATCCCTTTCCTCGATATGGCGCCGCCATCAATTCCACCGCCTCGAAAGATGGCACCATCTATCTCATGGGAGGACTCGTGGGCGGCGCGACTGTCAAGGGCGATTTATGGTTGACGGAAATGGGGAATGGCAGCATGACATGTTATCCCATCTCCACCACCGGAGACGGCCCTGGACCGCGTGTCGGCCACGCTAGCTTGCTGGTCGGCAACGCGTTCATTGTGTTTGGAGGTGACACCAAGCTGGCCGACAACGACGACCTTGACGACACTCTCTATCTCCTAAATACCTGTTTGTGTTCCTCCATGTTTGTTCCTACCTCCTAGCTGACGGCGCCCTAGCAACCAAACACTGGTCGCGCGCACTACCCCAAGGTCCCCGCCCTACTGGCCGCTACGGACACACGTTGAACATCCTTGGCTCCAAGATATACATTTTTGGAGGTCAGGTCGAGGGCTTCTTCTTCAACGATCTCGTCGCTTTTGACCTCAACTCGCTACAGTCGTCGGCAAGCCGTTGGGAAGTCTTGCTGCCAAACTCCAAGGAACAGACGTCTCCCCAGGGCACATCACCACAAGCTCGCACAAACCACTCCGTCGTTACATGGAACGATCAACTCTACCTGTACGTATTGCGCCTGTTGAATGCGCATAATCTTGTCTGCTAACTCATCCCAGCTTCGGTGGCACAGACGGCATTACCTGGTTCAACGATGTCTGGACATACAACCCACGCACCAACGCCTGGACGGAACTTGATTGCATTGGTTACATCCCCGTAGCTCGTGAAGGTCATTCGGCCGCGCTGGTCAACGACACAATGTATATCTTTGGCGGGCGCACCCAAGAAGGCGTTGACCTGGGTGACCTTGCTGCCTTTCGCATTTCGTCGCGCCGCTGGTACATGTTTCAAAACATGGGTCATTCTCCCTCAGCGCGATCTGGTCACAGCATGACCTCATTTGGAAAACATATTGTTGTTCTCGCTGGCGAGCCTAGTTCGTCCATCAGCGATAAGAACGAGCTCAGTCTCAGCTACATCCTGGACACCTCGAAGATTAGATATCCACCCAATGAGAGCGCTCCCCCTCCACCCCAGCAGCAACAGGCACCAATCACTCAACGAAAAATGAGTGGCGGCGAAAAAGGAATCATGCCCCCTAAAGTTGGATCACCCCCTGTCCGGGAAAGCATAATGGCCGCCTCACAACTTTCCTCTTCTCCCGA